AATTCTGGGAGTTGAAGTCTACACATCTTAAAGTTGCCAAGTTTGAAAAACACTGATCTAAATGCTCCAACCAGAGAATGATTTTTGAGATGTCAGTAAAACAGCATTCCAGAAATCATCTTCCCTGATCTAACTACTATGAGATCTCTTAATCACTATTACTAGCAATTTTGCCGTGCTATATTTTTAGGCAGTCTTTTGTTACTGTTCCAGTAGTTCCCAATTAATGCAGATCATCTCCACTATATCATCTTTTAGAAATTGTTAGACTACCAAATACAGGTCAGCAGTATACCATCTGCAAATAATTTGGCACCCATGTCCCTATAGAGGGCAATCTCCCAAAATTTTGGCCAGTTTTAAAAATACATTTTTCCAACTGTACCAGGTAGTTCAATTTTTCTAGGCTTAAACTAGATTATTTTCCCTAGCCATCATTCCAATTAGAACACTTGCTTCTTTATTTTAAAAGCTGTATTGGAATGATGTAATGTAATAACACTTTACAATTTGGAATTTAGATTTCTGTACACTTGGTTGCTGGTTGGCTTGAAACTAATCTCAGAGAAGGGTCATAAAGCTTCCTTATCAATTTAAAGTGAAATATCAAATGGAATGCCACAGATTTGGTTCTAAGACTTGTACTCCAAAATTTGTATTAATGGATGAATAGGTGGAATGAATGTATATCAGATTTTCAGGTTACACAAAACTGGTTGAGTACCTAATACAAGAGAACCAGTTTGAAAATAAAAGTTAAATTTACTAGACAAATGAAAGACCTAATTAAGAAAAAAAAATCAAAGCACTGGTACACAGTTGGTTACACAAAGAGAGTTGTAATTTATAATTCATACTTTTTTAGGTTTCATATTTCCCCAGTAATAGGAAGTCATAGTTCTATAATATTCTGCATTTGTCAGACTTCTCCTAAGGTACACTGTCCAATTTTGGGCACCATATGTTAAGAGTAAAAGAAATGAAAAAATGCAGAGAAGGGCAACCGATCATCATGATTAGAGAACTGGTAATTAATCCCTGTGACGAGGACACAAGGGTGTTTAGTCTCAGAAAAAGGGAGATTATGATAGCATCTCTTCACATGCTTAAAAGTGCTATGGAAAGATTAAGATTTACTCTGTGCTGAAGTCCAGGGGAGGTTTGACGAACTGAAGACGGCTCAGCAAAAATGGAGCCAACAGCTGTGGCAAAGATCAAGGAATTGGTGAGTAGACCGGTTACTTGGAACCTCTCTGGATAAGGAGTGGACAGGAGATCACCCACCCGTGCTCTGGATGGCAACTCCTCATGAATTTTCTGCAGATTTGAGCGTCGGAAGATGATGGGGTCGGCCATCTTGGTTGTAACTGTGGTGGAGACTTGAAGGACACTAAGTTCTAATCACTTGGAGATTGCCTAAGCTATTAGAGACCTTTGAAATGACAGGTTTGAAAAGTCTGTCTGAAATTCATCAGGTGAATTTATTTTAACTCTGAACAGAAGAAAAATTAATTACAAACTTAAGAACTTAAAGAATTTGAAATAAACAGCAAAAAGCTAAGAAAATTGTAAACAGATTAAGGGTCCAGATAAATTTGGATTATTGACTTTTGCTATAAGATTTTGCAATTAACTATAAAAAATAAACAGCCTCTTGTGGGAAACAGATTGATTTTGGTTGTCCTGACAATTTCAAGTCATAGCAAAAGGTAAGTGATGACTTTAGAAACAACACTAGAGGGGACTAAAGATTTTAAGGAGAACAAAAAATACAAAGCCTGATTGTAGTTAATACTGGGACTTAATGATACAAAATGTTGTACCATTGGAAATATTAAAGGAGATCAAAGAATGGAGCCAGAAGTTATTAACTACAATATCAGTAATAATAATAGTAATGATGTCTGTTTCTGTGGATAGACTATGTCTAAAAGATGTTAATGAAGGAATGACAGACGTGGAACAAATTTTATCTGATAAGATAAATTACAGAATGTGGAATTACAAATGACAGGCCAAGAGAAAGATTGGGGAAAGGACACTTTACTAGATGTACAAAAGAAACTGGCTGAAGCTTTAAAAATTAAAAGGGAAATACAAATGGTAAACCAAGAGAATGACCTGGAAAATGTTTTCTTATTGGATCTACAAAAGAAATTTGTAAAGCCTTGAAGAAATCTGTTTGATGGGATAAAGAAGAATTGAAGAGAAATCAAGTCCTACAACAATATTGAATTAAAGATTAAGACTGCTAGAAGGAAAAGGAAGGAATATAAAGTTTGTTTACTTGATCAAGGTTAAAATAAGACCTTTTTTTTTTTTTTTGCAATGTTCTGGCGATCATTTATGGACTTTTTGCTGACACCAGGATTGAAAAGTTGATGTTTTATGGATTTGATTATAAATAAGGGATGGGATATGGGATGATGAAATATCTGTTTACCCCTATAGGGGGTGATGAATTATTAAATTTGTTTATACTTGTGGTGAAATTTGGAAGTCACTTCTTTATATACTTTTCTTTTTCTTCTTTCTCTTTTCTTGCATTTTTTCTTTCCGTTCTCTTTTTCTAAATTTAGTTTGTATTAGTTGTTACTGTTGTAATTAAAATTCTTAACAAAAATTTTGTTTGAAAAAAAAAAAACAGACTTATTCTATGGTATTCCAGAATGAAAGTTGTAGCATAATGGTCTTTAATTATGTGAGAAAGATTGAATATTGGGGAATAATTCCTAAAGGTGAGAGCAGGAAGTTACTTCTGAATCCTTGAAACTGTCACATAGAGGCTGGGCAGTTTTTAAGTTGGATTCCCATGCTAAGCAGAAAGGGATTTCAGAATATAAATGGACCCTTTCACCTCCATGATTCTAATTCTTTCATTAAGTAAAAGTTTAAGTTAGTTAAATTTAAATTTGGTCACAGCCTACAAACAAGAGTAAGAAATATGCAGATCCTTCCATCATAAACTTAACACAGCTCTCCCCCTACAATGTGTACAAAAATGTACTGTCGCTTGGTTATAAAATTACATTTAATCATTGAAGCTGCAAGTTTCCTATGACATTTTGTTCCTGATGAAGCTATGTACAGCAGTGCTAATACATAAGCATTAGACATCTTAAATTCTTAAAAATAATTTATTAACAAATTTACTGTATGTGTACAAGTGTAGAGCTTTTAAGCTTTTATGCAAACAAGACAATATCTAGAAAATGCAACAAAGAAATGTGGATAAATTAAGATAGCAAAACATGAACATTCAGGGGTGAGTGTCCATAATGACATCGCCATTCTTATTTTTAACTCTTAGTCTCCCGGAGGCATATTGAGTCTCTTGTCGTCCATCAGCATAAACGGTTTTGATTGTGCCATCAGGGTACTCACGTCTTTTAAAATGAGCAGTGTGCACTTCTTGCTGACCATTGCTGAACTCTATAATCTTACTTCCATCTCTGAATTAAAACACACAAGAGACTTTTAAAGAATACCAATACCTTGTCTTACTAAATTCTGCAGAAAAGAAAAATTAGGAACTGGGGAAAAGAATATGAGTCGCAGCCTAGTTACTCTTTCAGTTCAATTGCCATACAGGGTAATTTGCTATAAAATGCACATATCTTAAATATTATTTTACCTTTCTTGTACTGATAATCTTCCTGCTATATATTTTGCTTCTTCCTGTTTCTCCCTTCGCCACATTATTTTTCTATTATGATTAGTCTAATGATTAGAATCGACCTAATATTTTTCAGCTGTTTAGATCTCAACTGCTATCAGTCCAAGAAAGCATAGTTAATAATAAGAGAGTTGTCAAAAATATTTGGGAGCATGCTAAATTTAGAGTAATTCTGGAGCACCCTAAACTTAGAATAAGTAATCATTCTGGTCCATAGCTTTTCCTCACCATCTTTTACTCCTTAATATGGGCAGATGGAGGGGGACTCAAACAGATGGTTATCTGAAAGACTATAAGTAGAATTTGATAGACTTTATCCTCCCTCCCTCCCCCCCAACACCTGGTGACTTACACTGGATTTCCCCCAAAGCCAGTCTTAATGAGATATTTTTCCCCATATGCTTGCAACTGAATTAGGTCAAACTTTCTCTAAAATTATTTGATCAGGATAAAAAACTTACTGCTGCATGTGGACAATGGTGCCATCAGGAAAAATATTTACTTCTCGCCCATCTGTGAATACAT